GGGGATTCGAACCCGCCACCTTAGGTGTACGTGGCTGGCGCCTTAGCCCGTTGAGCTATAGGCGCCGAGCCTAAAATTTTGCTTTCAACTGGCTTTCACTCATCTTAGTTTGAAGTTTTTTTTTTTTTTAAATTTTTTTTTTTTCTTTTCTTCCTTTAGCGATTCTCTTACCCTTAGCCTCCCAAGCTCCCAAGTAGCTGGGACTACAGGCACCTAACACAGTGCCTGGCTTTTTTTACGTAGAGACAGGGTCTCACTCTGGCTCACTCTGGCTCAGGATGGTCTTGAACCTTTGAGCTCAAGCAGTCCACCCGCCTCAGCCTCCCACAGCTGAGGAGTATAGGCATGAGCCACCATGCTCGGCCTTGAAAACATATTCTTTCAGATTTCATTGGCCTCTCCATGAATTTTGCTGATAAGAAAACCCCATTTATGAGTAACTGCCATACTGCCTCCATTGTTCATCATACACAGCAGCAAGGCTAATAATTCCACAGTTTCATCCTGAGTTCTTACTGAGCTATCTGGTAGATACCTCTCAGAGTTGCTAATTTAGGTTATTTAATTGGTTTTTGTAAAATAAGAAAACTAATCTGAAAATTTAAAAACTATTAATAGATTTGTTACCTTTGTATTGCCAAAGATACTATTAATAAAATCAGTGGACCAGAAAAAATATAAAAATTAATATTTGCAATAAATTAGCCAGGCATGTAGTCCCAGCTACTTGAGAGGCTCAGGCAGGAGGATCACTTGAACCCCTGAGTTTGAGGCTGCTGTGAGCCAGGCTAATACCATACCATGGCACTGTAGCTTGGCAACAGTGAGACTGTTTTTTTTTTTGCAATGAGATAACAGAATTAACATCTTTCACAGAACTCTTAGAAAATAGAAAATAATATTTTTTTAAAGGGCAAGGAATATGAAGTGACAAATTCTTAATAATTAGACCTGTATCAGTTGGCTTGGAAGTCTATACAAGACATTGAGGACAAAAATGCAGAAGTGTAAGAAATCCCATTATTGGCTGGGCGTGATGGCTTATACCTGAAATCCTAGCAGTATGGGGGCGGAGGTGGGTGGACTGCCTGAGCTCACGAGTTCAAGACCAGCCTAAGCCAGAGTAAGACCTCATCTCTAAAAGTAGCCAGGCATTGTGGCAGGTGCCTATAGTCCCAGATAGTCAGGAGGCTGAGGCAAGATAATCGCTTGAGCCCAAGAGTTTGAGGTTGCTGTGAGTTGTAACACCACGGCACTCTACAAAGCACAACGAAGTGGGACTCCATCTCTAAAATAAAAAATAAATCCCATTATTGTAAAGGACTTAATGGTACTCACTTCTGCAGCACATATGCTAAAATTGGAACGATACAAAGAAGATTAGCATGGCCCCTATGCAAGGAGGACATGCAAATTTGTGAAGCAGTCCTTATTTTTAAAAAGACTTAAGGACTTCTTTCCCTCCCCCATGTATGAGGAAGAAAATGAGAAAACGTGAGAGAATTTAGGAGAAGGGAGAAAAAGAAAGAAAGTGAATTCACTGGCCCTCAATCCCAGGCACTCCAGTATGCAGATCAATTAACTTTTGGAAAAGATGTGTCTGTGTAAATAAACAAAACCTTAATAATGTGTTTGTATATTTTAATAAAAGTATACACACAACTGTTTACTGTAGAAGGGTAGAACAGATGAGGGAGGTTTTGCCTTGAATACATTTTTGCATTGTATTTTTCATTTGCTATAATGAGTATTTTTTTGTTCTTGAGACAGAGTCTCACTATATCGTCCTCGGAAGAGTGCTGGAGTGCTGTAGCATCACAGCTCACAGCAACTTCAAACTCTTGGGCTGAAGTGATTCACTTGCCTCAGCCTCCCAAGTAGCTGGGACCACAGGCGCTCACCACAACGCTGGGCTGTTTTCTTGTTGCAGCTGTCATTGTTTAAATGGCCCCAGGCTGGGCTCAAACCTGCCAGCCTTCGTGCATGTAGCTGGCACTGTGACCACTGTGCTAGGGGCATCAAGCCACGAGTATTATTTTTATAATTTGAAAAACACCAGATTTTAAAAATTATGCAAAACGATAGTATCAGTTAAAGGCCACATGCAGTGGCTCACATCTGTAATCCTAGCACTCTAGGGGACCAAAGTTGGTGGGTTGCTTGAGCTCAGGAGTTTGAAACCAGCCTGAGCATAGAGCCAGACTTCATCTCTACTAGATAAAATAGAAAAACTAGCCAGACAGGCATTGTGGCTGGCGCCAGTAGTTCGAGCTACTTGAGAGGCTGAGGCAAGAGGATTGCTGGAACCCAAGAATTTGAGGTTGCTGTGAGTATGATGCCATGGCACTCTACCCAATGTGACTAAGACTCTGTTTCAAAAAGCAATTCCAACAAATTCTGTTTGTTACCTGTTCGCGATGGCACTTTCATCCTCATCTACCCTTCCTTATCTTTTCTTTTTTTTT